ATATCAGTGTACTAGTAGTATGCTTGTAAGTGTACTATTTCAATACTCCTTGGGACTAAATTGGCCCACTTTCTAGTATATAAAAGTATATACTTTTAAGTATACTTTAAGTATAACAGTAGTAAACTTTAAGTACACAACTAGTTTACATCAAAATGTTTAGGTTGTACTGCAACTATACTAAAAGTGAACTTGTATGAATACTGATTGTTTACTAATTAAATACTTGTAGTAGCATTTTTAGTACACTTTGAAGTATAGTCTCAGTAAACTACTAGTTTAGTAGTTTTATACTGCAAGTATACTCGTAAGTTTTCTTTAAGTGAGCTTTACATCATACTTGAAGTATTCTAATATGTCCCTATTTAGGTATTAATTTGTGTATATTTTGTTACATGAATATCTGAACATAAAAAACATCAAAAGAACAGAGTATCTGCTTGTAAACAAAAAAAATGTATTCTAGCTGCATGCATTCTTTTTGTAAACGCTTGAATGTGGATCAGTTTCATAAATAAAGAGATAAACAACATTTTGAACAAAAGCTGAAAAAAGACTATGAATTGGATTCAGAATGATAATCAAAACGTAGATAAAGTCGATCAACACCCCACAGCTTGACAGTCAGTATTACCTCTTCATTGGTCGACATTACATCAACGTTACACAGTTTTGATGCTGTTTTATGTCTGATGATCGTGTTAGAATACATGTGGAAGCATCTGTTGTTTCGGTTTCTTCTTCACTTGTGTTTTTTGGAAATTCTGTACAGAAGATGTGTACTAGCGCCCCTACAGTATAACAATGAAAACACGGATTCTAGGAACACAAGTATAGCTCAAATATATTTAGACTTTTTCTAAGTATAAATCAAGTATACTTAAATGTCATTAAGTATATTTCTGAGAAGTGCATAAAAAGTAGACAAAGTATACTTTCCTATTTTTAGTTTAAAAGAAGTATACTAATAGCACACTTGAATAAACTTCTTTTTCATAAGTGTAGGCTTAAATTTGTGAATTAATTTCACTTGTGTAAGCATGTCATCTCAGGATATTTTCATGAACCGTACAAACTTTATTTCCCTCTATAGCATAGAGCCCTAAAGACGTCATTTTGCCTCACTGGACTTAAGATTTGCCCTTTAAAGGGATTTTTCTCACCTCTATTACGTAAATGAGACTTTGAGGGGAAATAATCGCCTCCTGAAAAACTCAAAAATAAAAATATAAGCCATGTTGTTGGTTTTTTTTTGTTTTTTATCTTGATTTGTTTAAATAAACCACAACATTGAAAATTAACCATGGTTTTACTACAAATAAAACCATGGTTACTATAGTTAAACCATCCATAGTTTAGCCATGGTATTTGTAGTAAAACTGTGTTTATACAAATGGTAATCAATGTGCCAAACAACCATGGTCACTACACTTTTACTATAGTAAAACCATGGTTAATTTGAGCGATATAGCTAAAAAAATTTATCAACGATACAGTGTTTCATATCGTTCGGTATCGATAATTATTGACATTTTTATAACCTTTTTTTAAAACGAAGAGCAATAGAAAAACATTAAATTTAACCATTGTATTTTTAAATTAACCCAAATTATTGAGACACAACAAATATTTTTTGTTTTAACAGTCAAACACAATTAAAAACTAAACAAATATCTAATTTCTAATGTTTTATATGCAGATTAAATGGGTTTTAAGGAAACTTTTGTCTCGTCTCCCGAGGCCACTGGATGAGTAAAATAATGCAGCACATTTAAAATGCAGCACAAGGAAATAAATGTTTATTTAAAAAAAAAAAACCTGCATTACGTCTAAATTAACTCATATAAAGCAAATATAATTTCGTAAATTGCATAAACAATTATAAACAAAACAGCATCATGTATTTATGCATTGCTTAATCCAAAGAGTCGAATCGCCCGTCACGCAGATTGCATTTAAAAACATAAGAGACGCAGTGAAAAGGAATAAACCTCCATAAATTCGTGACGTGTTTTCTAAAAGTTTAAACCGTTTTAACTTTGCATGGCTACATCTCTTGTGTGAGACACGAGTGCAGCAGTCATAATTTTGTCTGTCTAAAAATGCACTGAATATGTGTGAGTGGCTTGGTTTCGATTTTCACCTAATCAAGATCTTCTCCGAATTGAGCTTCTATATTTCTCTAATATTTTGAATGAATAACGCAGCAGCGGCGCATCTCGTGGGCTAGACCAGTGGTTCCCAACCCTGGTCCTGGAGGCACCCCAACACTGCACGTTTTGCTTAATCAAACACACCTGATTCAGGTCATCAGCTCATTAGTAGAGACTCCAAGACCTGAAATTGGTGTCAGAGAAAAGGATACATGCAAAATTTGCAGTGTTGGGGTGCCTCCAGGACATTCAAATGCAAATGTTTTTTAAATTCGACTAATATTCATTTGTTTTTATTCGCAATCTTCTCATCACAGGCAGACACAGCACTCATTTCAGCATGTGTTCGTGTTTGTGTGTACGGTCTTCATCACTCATGTAGCACGTGCCTATATCGTGCGCTAAATTGAAAAAATTTATATCGTTATCGAAGGTGTACCGTCGATAAATATCGATACTGTTTTATCCCCCAGGCCTAAGTTAGTGTATATCATGATTATATTATAAAACGGGTATCAAAATCAGTTCCTGGAGGGTCGCAGCCCTGCAGAGTTTATGGTACGTTCAAGTCATGCCGGATAGATCGTATTTATGAGTTGAACGCCACCACAAAGTCTTCGTTATGAGTGGGAAACTCAAATTTTCTTTAAGCCATGAGTTTCTGAGTTGGGGGCGTGTCCATGAGAAAACATGTCGGATGCAATGGACTCAGCCAAAGACTAGATATGCAGCATCTGTATTGACGGTAAATTTGTTGAAATTAATGAAATTAGTAATTTTTTGTAATGTAAAATAAAATTGGTTACATATACAAAATATTATATTATTGTATAATTACCATAGAACACATGATTCAGTTTACATCACCTTCATAAATTGAATAAAAACAGAAACAGGAAAAAACACAATGATGCACATTCTTTATTTTGTAGATGTAGAGTTTTTTTATTATTATTTTTTTTTTTTATATAAGCTGTGTCATTTAGAAGGCTGCGCCCTCTGGAGGTCGAATCCTCTGTAGGATGCATATACGAAGTGTCTTCAACCTAGAATTAAACGAGACAGCCTTCGTAGGACAGGCGGAAAAGGAAACTGGAAGTATCACGTTGCTATGCCAACACATTTAGAGCATCGTTGCGCTCTCTCACTACTTAAATTAAGGAAAATTATTTCTAAATTTGGAAAGTAATTTGAAAAAAAAATGCTTTTACTTGTTTTATTTTGTTCAATGTTTGCGGAGCTGCAGCGTATGTACAGCAGACATCTGTTAGAGGAAAAAAAAAAGGAGGATTTTAAAAACAAAGTTTATCCGTTTTTACCGAGGCAATTTAAGGTAAGTTGTAAACGCCACATCTGCGCTTGTGTGTACATCTGCCGGCGCTGGCATTTTTTCAAATTAACAACGGTTGTTCACGGCGACGCAAAGAATTGTGGGTTATCTGTAGTAGCGAAGGATACACCTCATGCATCCTCCGAATTCCTGTGAAAGAAGGTCGCATTCGAAGGTCGCATTGTGTCCTACATGCTTTTCTGAAATGAGACAGCCTCGATGACGTATGCAGCCTTTGAATGCGACCTCCGGAGGGCGCAGTCTTCTAAATGAGACGCAGCTATAGAAAAGTTAAATCGCCGTCTTGTTCCGACTAAAGTGACTTGAACGCACCTGACATCATTATTATGACTTGTCAACTCGTAAGTACGAACGTCCCTGGAGGACTTGAATGCAGCATTAGTTCCAACCCTGCTCCAACACACAAACCTGGATCAGGTGTGTTTAATTAGGGTTGGAGCTAAACTCTGCAGGGCTGTGGCCCTCCAGGAATTGAGTTTGACACCCCTGTTAAAACAAATATATTTAGCAAAGTTTATGGTTAAAGGAATCGTTTGTCCATAAATAAGGATGAGTAAATGATGGCACAATTCTCAGGTTAAAAAAAAACTGAAAATGTTTTATTTATACGGCAAACACAAAAAGAGATGTAGGGCATAATGTCCAGGCTGTTTTGAAGGGGACAAGGAAACCAATTTTGATGTTTAACAATGTGTGGCTCTTTCTTTGTTGGTGACAGGTATGTCGGAAGTTGGGAATTATTGAGGTGGATTACTTTGGGCTGCAGTTTTCTGGCAGTAAGGGAGAGAACCTGTGGCTGAACCTGAGGAACAGAATCTCCCAGCAGATGGACAATCTCACGCCCTGCAGACTACGGCTCAGAGTAAAGTTCTTCGTGGAGCCTCACCTTATTCTGCAGGAGCAGACGAGGTATGTACACGCGGAAAAAACACATGTATTACAACAACGTAATGGATATTGTTTGAGGAAGTTGTGACTGAGAACATTTCATCATCGTCTAGGAGTAGAGACATTTTTAAACTTCCGTACCAATACAGTAAGAAAAAAAAAATTCAGAAGAACAACAGGAAGAAAGGCAATGGTATGTGGGTGTATGCAGGTTTTGTGTGATATTAGTGGAAGTAAAGCCATTTCTCTTCCATTCACTGCGTTTAATGTGAATTCCACGCCCGACTTGAGCTATATCTCATTTTTAAGTGTGCCTGTGTTAAGATCGAACCACACAAAATCTAGGGCATGTAACATATTAAATATTCATTTAACAATGCTGGTTTTATGAGTGTTCTTTCAGCTTCACATCAGCTGAAGTCATGTGTGTTAGGTAGAGAGAGAGAGAGCACTTTGCACAGTAGCCTGTAAAAAAAATTTTTCTGTCAGTACAGTGGTTTGCCCTGTAGTAACCCTGCTCCCTGTGGGTTACTGTAGGTCATTGTGCTATGAGTGGCAGCAGGAAATGTGATCCCCTGCTCAAAAGCTCCTACCCACAGAGACTGAGCTGGCAGAGTCACCACCACCTCATGCCCTTTTATTCACTGTAACTGTGCAAAAAAAGTTGTTACTTTTTCTTTGTCTGAGACCAATGTGGAGCACAGCTTAAAGGACACAAGTTTACAAGTTAAACTCTAGTAGCAGCATATGTGGTATTCTTGACTGTTATTTTTATTAAAAAAATTACAGTAAAGTACAGTGATAGTACATGGGCAACTCAAATGTAAAAACTCCCACTGATTTGAAAGTATAAGCACTAGACCTAAGGGTACATTTAATCAAAAAATCAAAATTCTGTGATTTACTTACCCTCATGTCATTCCGAATCCGTATGAGTAGGGGTGCACTGATCAGGATTTTTGAGGCCGATCGCTGGTCACCGAAAGCAGTATCTGCCGATACCGATCTTTTAAAGCCTTCTTTTTATCATTTATAACTATTTATAGTGATACTCCAATCAGGATTTTTAGACATTTATTCAGGGCCTGAATTTCATTTTTGAAAATGGGGGGGGAATTTCCCTCTTAGGTGACTCTTGTGAGAGGGGAAGCAGCACGGACTGTACTTTCACACAGGAGTCTGCTACTGATCCGTGGCTGTTTACCACAAACACAACATTTATCCATTATTTTGATTTCAAATCCAAACATTGTCACTGAAAATGCTTTTTCAGCATTGCAGTTCTTTTTTTATTTTTTTTTTATAAACAGTACAGTAATACAATCTTTCATAGACGTGTTTAAACACAATCAATATAAGCAACACATTATTCAATGCTTTTTACTTTTGCATTTACTTCTAGATTTATATATTAAGTTGCTCAAGCAAGTGGCAAAACATTTAAACTACTTTTCTTACGTTATCACAAACTTACCATTGAAGAAATAATCAGCTCTACTGCCTTTCCTTTTGCATTGAAATCTTTATTACAAGCAATCCTGCCTCCACGAGTGCCATCTGTTATTGCCTTGTTTATCTAAAAGTGCTCTTTTCCTTTAAACCTAGCCAAAAAAGCCATATGCGTTGACTGTGAAACACAGTAGACTTTAATAATATGTATTTATGTAATTTTCTACATTTTCGTGTCAATCCATGTTCATATTTACTGCAAACAATGTGCTGTTACTTTAATTCTTCGCTTGCAGCGCAGCAAAAATAGACTCGGTGTGGAAACGATCTCTGCACTGCTGCAGACGCACCGCTACTGCAGTGTGAACGCTTTATTAATCTGTTAACATGAGCGCGGAAAAAATACACGCCACATACGCACTGCAAACAGAGTAATGTGAACCTGGCATTATGTGTGTGTGCTGCGAGTGTTCACAAGCGCACGGTCTCCAGGAGAGCGCGCAAGCGCTGAATGGTTAAACACTGGCAAGAATTACAAAGTAATGCAATTTATTGTATGTATACTTTATTGTATGTAACTTTATTGACTGTGACACTGCCTCGATTGTGCAAGTGACAATTCCTGTGTCAACTTGCAGCTCGCTTATAGACCGACGCGATGTGGTGATTTGAAACCATTTGCGTATTTTGATAGAGAAAGAGATCTGCCTTTTTAGAGACCGCCGATCAATCATCTCAATGTGATTATCGGCCGATAGTGATCGGTAGCCGATCAATCGGAGCCACCCCTATGTATGAGTTTGTTTTGTGGAAAACAAAACGAGATATTTTGAAGAATGTGATCATTGAGATTCTCAAAATATCATCTTCTGTGTTCAGCATAGAGAGTGTGACCGTTTTGAAACTATGAGTAAATAATGACAATTTTCATTTTTGGGTGAACTGTCCCTTTAAGAATTATGTGCAAAGTGTGACAAGACTAGTGTGATATAACTGCTTATCCGTGTTCATTTAGTTGTATGCTATTTTCTGCTCTTGCTATGACCATGCAATTTGTATCTTTTGTAAATAATCGGTGTTAACTAAAATAATTTGTTAATTGAAATTGTAAACATGTAAACATACAACATGTAAATATTACCTTTTGCAATGAACTGAACAAATTTAAAGCTACGTAGAAATGTAATATAAATATTAAAATTTAAATGTTAAATATTAAAATGTAACAATTACTCCAATTAAAAAAAATTTAATTGAGAATTCACTAATTTTAAATATATATTAAATATTACTGAAATTTCCTATAAGTGCTTTAAAAATCAGAGTTTCACTTTTTATCCCTCGAAGATGCAATGTTGTTTGCTTACTAGCAAGATTAGTTGGAGATCCTGTCAGATTAGTCTTGTGGCTTTGGAAATAGTGTATTTTAATGTTTATTGTGTTGGCCTGTGTACTTTTATTGTAAGTCCCAGACTGTAACAGTTAATTATTTCTGTGGTCAGGGACATTCTTCCATAAATTCTCTATGGTTTTCCATTCCATTTTTTTTCTTTTCTTTTCTGAACTAAAATTGAAGAAATTAAAGCTTTGGATGGGACTCTGCATTAACAATTCAAAAATGAAATTAAGCCATCAGTCTGAGGTTTTGAAGCACTCCAGCAGTCAACTTCCTCCCCAGAGATAATTTGACTGGGTAGTTACAATGCATTTCATGTAAATGAACTCTCTGTCAGGACGCTGGTTCACAAATGTTTGTCTCTGATAAAGAGAGGCACAGACAGGTGTTAACAAGATTTTTCTTCCCCTCTCTTTTTTTTTTTCTTTTTCACTCTTCTTGTGTGATGTTATAAGTAGTGTCACATGCTTATTTGTACTTCATTAACGGAACTTTGCAGTGAGTATGTACCTGCAGTGTACCACTTTCAACCTCACAGTGAACTCTCTGTACTCCTCCAGTATATGCTGTGTGCCGTTATTTGATAGGTGGCCCGTTTTGGAGCCCCGCGTTCTGTGCTCTCCAAGCTCGGCTGGGTCCTTTTCAATAAAATGAAATGGGATGACATGCCAGATCCCGCGGGCAGATTCTCTAGGCAGAGCGACTCTGGCAGGGCAGCATGGGCATCTATGCATGCTTCCGTTTCCTTGAGTGTCCTTTTGTAAGGATTTGTAACTTAAAAGCCACTTTTTTTTTTTTTTTTGTTTAGATGGTCTTCTGCTGGCCTGAGGGAGATTAGCGGGGGTTACTGACAGATGGTGGACGGAAAGATTGAGGGGTTTTGGGGGGAGGAAGAAACTTGGACTGGTAATTTGCTAAATTGCACGTGTTGCGCTTTACGCAAGGCTTCTTGATGCAAGGTGGAAGGACGTTGCACCCCCAGAGCCGCCACATGTAATTTCATTCAAGCTCTGTTAAGACACCCTGGACGGCCTTCCAAATGGGCACAAAAACAGCTTACAGTGTGTGAAGACTGACATGTTAGGAAAATCTGAGATGGCGGGGGTTGAGACTTTGTTTCTCTTGTCGACATCAGGATGAGAGCAACGCTTTGATCAGGCTGAGATTGAATATTTGGAAGAGAAAATGTGAGGCACACTGAATAACAATGAATGCAGTCATTGTGCCCTATATGTGGCAGGAGCTGGCAGTGTTCAAAATGGAACATTAGCATATTGCTTACTGCACAGTGTACACGGAATAATGCCTTTTTATAGAATGTGGGATGATTAAACATTCATATACTGTATATCTCAAACTGTAGTATGGTACTGTCATGTGACCTCATTGTAATCCCCCCCCCCCACACCACACACACACACACACACACAAACAAATGACATCCAGTTATTGTGGGAAAGAGTTTTGTGTAAGAACAGCCTTAGTCAGAAGAATGTTAACAAAGGAGTCCAGAAAAAGAAGAACCCTAACTTTTTAAAACTTAAGGCTCGTAAAGATTTTTAAAATGTTTTTCAAAGTCTCTCTTGCTCCGTTTAAAACAACTGTTTTCTACTCGAATTGGCTATTGTCAGATTTTATGTGGATTTTTTTTTGTTATAGATTTAGATGAAATATAGAATTTTAATATCTGCCATTTGAAAATAATTATCAACTTATCAGCCAGAAGTGTAATGTTCTTGAATTCCTCTAAAAACACAAAGTATAAAACACTCCCTTTTTGTCAAAGGAACCAGTACAAGAGTAATAGACTAAATGGAGAAATTGACGCCCATAGCAGAATATAAATGGCTGCCTGGCATTTCTGAGTGTAATGCAGGCTGCTGTCGCATGAAAACCGTCCTTTGTTAACTTTTTGGCACTGTTGTAGATTTGTGTGTGCGCACATGCATGCATGATGCGACCCAGCCTCCAGCTACTAGGGTCATGTTCCCTAACCTTGTTTGTGCAATGACCTCTGCCCTACTTCGACACTGCACTCCACTGCTCAACGCATTGACTGGCAGTGAGCTCTGGCATGTATTCACCACACGCTCCTACAAATGCAGCCTGAAATCCCATGGTTTTCCCCACAGAGAATTTTTAAGTGGAATTGTATGTGCGCAAGAACTCGGCCATT